CTGTGAGCTGTAATGCCACGGCACTTTGCCCAGGGGGATAGCTTGAGGCTCTGTCTCAAAAAAAAAAAAACAAAAACAAAACACACCTACCACAGAAATATGTAGGATTTATGTAAAATTTTGTATTTATATCTGTAATGCCACGGCACTCTACCCAGGGGGATAGCTTGAGGCTGTCTCAAAAAAACAAACAAAAAAAAAAAAACACACCTACCACAGAAATACGTAGGATTTATGTAAAATTTTGTATTTACATCTTTGGGTAATGTTATTATGAAAGAATATCAGCTTACTTAGCTATTTTTTTCTATTTTCTTCTTTCCATATAGTCTAGTCATGTAATTCTTAAAAGCCTGGGAAGCATAAAGTATTACAGAAAGATTTCTAGTATGTTTATATGAAAAAAATTTACATTTGAAGAAATATTTCAATATCTGGATAACTCACTTATATTAATACCTTACTCATTAAGAATGCCAGCTAAAAATATTTACTACCTTTGTAAATAATGTTATAATTAATAGTTATAGAAGATAACAGGTTCAAGAGACATCAGTTAAGATTTGAAAGTAGTAATCATTTTACATAATACTAAATAGATCTTAACCACACTTTTAGGTATAAACAGCTTGCTTTCTTTCTCTTTTAAGAAGTTTTGTTATGTTGCCCAGGCTGGTCTTGAACTCTTGGGCTCCAGAAATCCTCCCACCTCAGCCTCCCAAAGGGACCACAGGTGTTCACCACCAGTAGCCAGCTTATAAATAGGTTTGTGTTTTTTTTGAGACAGAGTCTCATTATATTGCCCTTGGTAGAGTGCCATGGCATCATCAAAGAAACCTCAAATTCTTGGGCTTAAGCAGTTCTTTTGCCTCAGCCTCCCAAGTAACTGGGACTACAGGCGCCACAACACCTGGCTATTTTTTTGTTGTAGTTGTCATTGCTGTTTAGCAGGCCCAAGCCAGGTTCGAACTCACTAGCCCCAGTGTATGTGGCCAGCGCCCTAACCACTGAGCTATAGGCTCTGAGCTGATAAATAGCTTTCTTAAGGTCTTACTGTTTTGTCTATAGTCCCAGATAAAGATGTCTTTTCTAAAGTTTTGCCAAGAGAAAACATATAATTAAGTGAAACTCTTTAAGATGTCCATTCTCAATCTATTTTTCAGGTTAGCTTTGTGCAAAATTTTTTTTTGAGACAGAGCCTCAAGCTGTCCCCCCTGGGTAGAGTGGCATGGCATCACAGCTCACAGCAACCTCCAACTCCTAGGCTCAAGCGAGTCTCCTGCCTCAGCCTCCCAAGTAGCTGGGACCACAGGCACCTGCCACAACACCTGGCTTTTTTTTTTTTTTTTTTTGGTTGCAGCTATCATTGTCATTTGGCAGGCCCGGGCTGGATTCCACCCAGCCACCTTAGGTGTATGTGGCTGGCGCCTTAGCCACTTGAGCCACAGGTGCCAAGCCGCCTTGTGCAAAATTTTAACACCTTATATCAAAGTGGTATAAATGTGACAAAATAGTCCAACACTCACTAATATTTACATTAAAAATTAGAAAGAAAATGACCATTTTAGAAAAGATCAGCTATTGCAAATAATAAATAAGAGAAGACTTGGTGCCTATAGTTCAGTGAGTAGGGCACCAGCCACATATACCAAGGCTGGCGAGTTCGAGCCCGGCCCAGGCCTGCTAAGCAACAATGACTACTGCAACCAAAAAATAGCCAGGCATTGTGGCAGGCGCCTGTCAGAAGGCTGAGCAAGAGACTCACTTAAGCCCAAGAGTTTGAGGTTGCTGTCAGATGTGACACTGACACCACGGCACTCTACTGAAGGCAACATAGTAAGACTCTGTCTCAAAAAAAAAGCCTATCGTTCAAAAAAGGTGCAAGTAACAACTTTTTGTTCTTATGCCAATTTATATCAACTCATTTTAATGCATTCAAAATGTTTATTTTTTTTTTTTTGCATACGGAGTCTCACCTTGGCTAAAGTGCCATAGCCTCAGCCTAGCTCACAGGAACTTCAAACTCTTGGCCTCAAGCAATCCTCTTGCCTCAGCCTCCTGGGTAGCTAGGACTACAGATGTGTGCCATCATGCCTGGCTATTTTTTTCTATTTTAGAGATGGGGTTTTTCTAGTTAGTAGAGATGGGGTTTCGCCTTGCTCAAGATTAAAGAATATACAAAATGGCGGTGCCCATACACTCAGTGGGCAGGGTGCCAGCCACATACACCAAGGCTGGCGGGTTCAAACCTGGCCCGGGCCAGCTAAACAACGACAATTGCAACAAAAATAGTTGGGTGTTGTGGTGGGAGCCTATGGTCCCAGCTACTTGGTAGGCTGAGGCAAGAAAATGGCTTAAGCCCAAGATTTGGAGGTTGTGGTGAGCTATAACGCCACAGCCCTCTACCGAGGGTGACATAGTAAGATTCTGTCTCCAAAAAAAAAAAAATATATATATATATATATATATACACATAATGTAAAATATAATCCTCTTAAAAGATTCTGACTTCATTTAAAAAATTACATTTATAAATTCTGCAAGACATTTGCTTAGATACTACTTACCCTATAATAAAACCGGGGAATGGTCTTATAGAATTCATTTGTGCTTTTTCTACCACCTTTCCATTCTGAATAATATTTGGTAAATAAATCCATTTCTTCATCTTTTAATTCTTGTTCACTTTTTTTTTCTGGTAACAAAACAGATAAAAACACTTTTAAAATCAAGCAATACCTTTACTCAGATCATCCTGTACACTACAGCCTAATTAAAATAGTTATAGTGCCAAAAAAGGCCTTCACCCTCAACAGCACCTAACTTAAAACACTAAGAATCACTACCTCCACTGAATCAGCCTCCCCTACATCTTTGGCCACTTTTTTTTTTTTTGAAACAGAGTCTCACTGTGTCACCCTGGGTAGAGTGGTCATGGTGTCTTCATAGCTCACAGCAACCTCAAACTCCTGGGCTTGAGCAATCCTCTTGCCTCAGCCTCCCCAGCATCTGGGAATATAGGAGCCTACCACCACAACTGGCTAGTTTTCCTATGTTTAGCAGAGACAGGGTCTCACTCTTGCTCAAGCTGGTCTCAAAACTCCTGAGCTCAAGCAGTTCACCTGCCTGGCATCCCAAAGTGCTAGGATTACAGCTGTGAATCACCACACCTTGCTAATCTTCAGTCACTTCTAAGTTTGCTCCCTCTACTTCTGTTTATCACTAAAGCTAGTCTCTCCAAGACATTGCCTCTCCTACAGACTTCTAGAGTGTTCTTAATTCATTCAATTAAAAAAAAAATTACTGAGCAACTACTATGTGCAGGCACTGTACTAGAAACTTGTACCAGAAGAGTGAATGAAGCAGCCCCAGCCTTTAACCTCATGCAGTTTTAGCCTCATAAATCACTGTTCTTCTACCTAATGTAAGAAAACTCCTCTGTCTAAAGCTGAAAACTGAGGGGTCTCTTACCCTCCAACCTGCCTGCTACTGGGACATGGTTGTCTCATTAGGCCAATTCGTCCTCACTTATTTGTGGACCATAGTGAGTGGTGCACAATAGTCTTCACAAGGCCCTGCGATCTTCTACCACAAATAAACATTTATGTGGATGACAATGATCCCTGCAACTCTAAAGGCTTTCATTTCTACTTTGCTCAGTTCCACAACATGATCCCAGATCTTATTTGCTTCTTTTCTGAAAATTTAAACTGTGACATACTCAGATCATCCTTTCTGGTCATTCAAAACCTCACTGGCATAATACTTGCACTTCAGACTCACTAAGATCTTGAATTCTGTGGTCTGTTTTTGCAAAGGTTTATTTTCCTTTCTGTTCTCAGTTTCAATAAGCCTGTAGTTGTTTACCTGAACTCCTTTTAGGACTGCATTTCTTCTACATCTCCCATGTTAATTTTAACCTTGGACTAAACCTGTAATTTAATATCTTTACTATGGCTCAGAGCTATTGGAGAAAACTGCAAAATTTTATAAGTAAAATGAGGACTGACGACTGATCATTGGATTTAACAATATGGAAATCACTTCACTGATGAGTCTTCACAAGCAGGAATTAGAGACAAACACAGATTTAACCACAACTCTTTTAATAAGTGTTGGTATAAGGGAAACAAAATAGAGGTGTTAACTAGAGATGGAAATTAAATCAAGAAAGTTTAAGATGGCCAAGTGTGGTGGCTCATGCCTGTATTCCTAGCACTCTGGAAGGCTGAGACGCACAGACTGCTGGAGCTCAGGAGTTAGAAACCAGATTGAACAAGAGTGAGACCTGTGTCTCTACTAAAAATAGAAAAAACTAGCCTGGCATAGTGGCAGCTGCTTCTAGTCCCAGGTACTGGGGAGGCTGAGACAAGAGGACTGCTCAAGCCCAAGAGTCTGAGGTTCCTGTGAGCTATGAAGAAACCACCACCACTCAACTCAGGGCCACAGAGTAACACTGTCACCCCCCCTCCCCCAAAAAGTTTAAGACGGGAGAAATACTAGCATGTTTTACATACTGATGGAAATGATTAAGAAAGGAAAATTGATGATGCAGGACAGGGGACAACTGCAGGAGTCCATCCTAGAAAAGGCAAAAATTGGACCTAGTACAAACGATGGAATCTAGTACATCGTATGTTCTCTACGTGTTGGCCACCTCTCTGTAAAATTTTGTAATGAATATTTTGTAATTTCAAGGTTTTACATTTAGCTACAGTTTCCTGTTTTCTCTATGTACAGAGACTTTAGGGGAGACTTGAGAGATTTTGCGCATTCAAAAGAAACAAGTTCAGCTGAAGGTAAGGAGTGGATCGGGCAGAAGGGAAGTCTGGGAGATGAGAAGCTTTGAGGAGTGTCTAGGGAAACACGGTGGATACGACCAAAACACCTTCTTTAGATTAGATGACATGGATTAAAAGTGACACAACTCACCATGGTTCTGTTTTTCTCCAGGCACTTTCAGGAGCTCTGAGTGAGGGGGTGAAAGAGGAAAGACAGATTTAACCAAATTAGTTAACAAGCGAGTATGAAGGAGAGGGGAAGAGACCAAGAGAAAATGGTCTGTGAAATCTAAAATGGATTAGGAAGGAAACAGAAAGTGTCAGCAAAAAGGCGGCAGAATCAATGAATTATAAATCCTAATGGGGTCGAAGACTTGTTGGAGCCGGGGTTCTCAAATATTCCTCACAAGTTTACATTGAGACCAGGGACTAAGGCCAAGCATTTCGTTCCCGTCGATTCTTTCTCAGGGAAGTTTGGGTCGAACCTCTCTGAATCCCTAAACCACGTTCCACTCCGCCTCCTTTATCAGCATCTTCTACAGAAGCCGAAACTGTGGCTTCCAATTGCTCCTCCTCATTCTCCCCCCACCTCTAAGAGCTTAGGGCTGGGCTATCCCAACAAGCGGCCCCTCCCAAACTCACTGTTTGGACCGGTGCTGGGCGTCGCTAAGCGCCGGCGAAGAACTTCTTTCCAGTCCATGGCCGACTCCCGCGCAGCAGCGCTTGCATTTGCTGTTTACTACCGCTCCACCCCTACCAGCTCACACGTCAGACGCCGACAGGCCCCGTGAAGGTTAGGCAGGCGACGCAGGCGCCATCTTGGACGTGGGCGGAAGTGTCTGATAAGGAGGTAAAAACTGCATCTACCGCAGTGAACCCGGCGTCGATGCCGACAGGAAAAGGCAGACGCGAAAGAAACGGAAAATGATCTTCCTTAGGGAATCATCCCAACCACACCAAGCCTGATTTTAAAAGCCAGAATAAAGACCAGGGTGTTATTCACTGTGGGACTCTAGTGCGGGCGCATCACGTGACTAAGCAGGCCACTGAAGTTTCCGGTTTGAGCGACGCGCTTCCTTCTTTCACAGATTCTTTTACTTTATACTGCGGAAGTCTGGAGGCCCTCAAGGTCCCCTGAATATAAGAGACACTTAAGCATCCGTCTTTTATCACTAAATGCTTATAAATTCATTTTTTTCCCCTCGTCGCCAGGCTTAGTGGAACGCCTGGGCCCAGGTCAGTCTAGCGGCCGCGGCCGGCGCGGTGCATTGTGGGCACTGTAGTTTCCGCCGCCTTCCTGGTCGCGTGAGTGTAGCGTTGAATGAGGTGAACTTAGCTTGTTAGCGGTGAGTACTCAGTCAAGGCTCCGCCATTCCTGGACTTTTCATGCTTGAGTTGTTGGCTCGGCTGACTCTCCACCTCCCCATCCCTACTCCCCTTGGTCGAGTTTTGCCGCTGGGGGAGGGTTATGCAGAACGAGGGCCCCTAGACTTTGACTTTCGCCGCTGTCATTGCTAGTGAAGTAGCGGTTGGGGGCTCTTGGTCGCAGTTTCGACTTTACGCCCCTTTTCCAGCAACCCTTCCATGAGCCTCCTACATCATTTCAGGACGTTTGTGATCCACGTGAGTAGAACTGGGTGTTGATCCTTGTGTCTATTCCTCAGATTCGTGGACTGGCCTGTAACAGACCGCAGAAGATTCCTGCTCTGTACCCTGGTTTGTGGCTTGCGACGTTGGATGTCCCGGGATCGTTGTTTTATAGAGAGAACTCACCTGCCTTAGTTGCTATTAAGTAGCCTCAAGAGCAGCACCTTAATTTGTAAAGAAGAAAGGAAAACTTTTTAAAAGTTGCACTTCCATTCTCCGCCTCTGACCTCAACCCTTAATTTTGCTGTAGGAGTAAGGATTTGTGGTCCTGATCTCACTGCATAATGACTTTCTGTTTGCCTGGTGTTGGAAGCCTTCCTAAACTTTGGACGAGCAAGTCGGTATGGCTAGGCCCAGGACACTCTTACTTGTGTCTTTTTCTCACAGACTTCTGTGGCGTCAGGAACAACCAGAGGTGGTTTTCTCTTAAAACAACATGCCTGCAAAATACAAAATCAATCAATCTGCTAATTGCCAAGGCCAGACATTTCAGAAAAGATGAGGGCAGAAATAAGAACGTTTCTTCTGGTTTTTCTGATCTTTTTTCAGCAGGAGCAGCTAAGAAGAGATCACAAATGAATTGTCAGAATAAAGTTCATGACTTGCCATCCATAAAGAACACCAGTCAACTCCCAACAGAACCTTTGAGGTTAGAGGATTGGGATAAACTTAAGGAAGATTTCAAAGGAAAGGTCAGTTTTGAAAGTTGGATCAGTTCACAGATGGCCCACCATCATAGCTCTGTAGATGTGGCTAAATCTCTGCTGGCATGGGTAGCAGCAAAAAACAATGGTCTTGTAGGCTATGATTTACTGGTCAAGTATTTATATCTCTGTGTCTTTCATAAGCAAACATCAGAAGTTATTGATATTTATGAAATCATGAAAGCCAGATATAAAAATTTAGAGCCTGGAGCATACACTCTTCTTATCCGGGGATTAAGCCATTCAGACAGATGGAGAGAGGCCTTGCTTCTGTTAGAAGACATGAAAAAAGTCACGATCCCTTCAAGAAAGAACTATCATGACTGTATCCAAGGAGCCCTCCTTCGTCAAGATGTAGACATAGCTTGGAATTTGTATCAGGAATTGCTAGGTCATAATCTCATTCCTATGTTGGAAACTTTGAAAGCCTTCTTTGATTTGGGGAAAGACATAAAAGATGATTACTACTCAAATAAACTACAAGACATACTTTTGTATCTAAGAAATAATCAGCTATATCCTGGGGAGTCATTTGCACACAGTATAAAAACATGGTTTGAGAGGTAATTTTGATTTTTCTTTATATGTGTTTATTTTAACATATATGCTTTAAACGTAGCCTTTCCTTTCTGTTGTTAGTTTCTGAGAACCATTTTATTCAGACTATATTTCTGTTTCTTAGTAACTTTGTTTCCTCTTTTTTTTTTTTTTTGGCCAGGGCTGTTTTTTTTTTTGAACCCACCACCTTTGGCATATGGGGCTGGCACCCTACTCCTTGAGCCACAGGTGCTGCCCTGTTTCCTCTTTTAAGACAAAATTTTCTCTTTAAAACAAGTAGTAGCGGCTCAGCACCTGTGGCTCATACACCACTGGAGCTGGCAGATTCGAATCCAGCCAGGGCCTGCCAAACAACAATGACAACTACAACCAAAAAACAGCCAGGCAGTGTGGTGGGCGCCTGTAGCTACTTGGGAGGCTGAGGCGTAAGAATTGCTTAAGCCCAAGAGTTTAGGCTGCTGTGAGCTGTGACGCCAAGGCACTCTACCTAGGGCAACAGTTTAAGACTCTGTCTCAGAAAAAAAAGAAAGAAAAGGGTGGCACCTGTGGCTCAAGGAGTAGGACGCCAGCCCCATATACTGGAGGTGGTGAGTTCAAACCTGGCCCTAGCCAATAACTGCAAAAAAAAAGTAGTAGCATAAACAATTTGTACTAATCTCCTCCCATTACATAAAAAGGAAAGTATAGAGCACTTTTTGTTTTATGTGTTTGTTACCTTTTAGTACAAGGATCGTTGGTTTTATTTTCTTAGGCATCAAGTAAGATATGAGTAAGAATAGTACTTGTGACCAGAGTTCATAGCAAGAAAAAGTAATAGTATTTGACTAGAGCTGGCCTTGTGCCATGTCAGTATTTTCAGAAATTCCTCTGAAATCTAGTGACTAGGATAGTGTGCTTATATTTATTCTATCTAACCTCTGTAGTATCAGCCTAAAAGGTAAGAGTGCAGAGGAGAATCCTAAGGGTTTTACATGAGTATTAAAATCTTCATCCTTTTAGTTTTAGATCTTTCCCATTATTTTAGTGCTCTTTTTCCAAACTTCTTTTGCTTTTGCTTTGATTTTTTTTTTTTTTTTTTTTTTTTTTGGCCAGGGCT